CTAATTATATGTTCAAAATATTATTCTGCACTATAGCTAGTATAATACCCTTACAATTTCTGATAAGATTATTCTGTTTTATTTTTGACACAGGACTAACTTTCCTGTTCTGTTAGGCATTTTATAGGATTTCTAATACTGGGTTAGCACTCTGGGTCTTTCTGTTTGTTTAGGACGTAGGCCTCTGGAACACCTTGTTTGTAAATGAAATAACTTGCATCCTGCTTAGTATTTATATTTTCTTAACCCCTTATACAGATGCAGCCCTCTAGAAAGTGCAAGGTGTCAGCAGATATACTGTATTGAGGTAGGCTGCAACAATGGACTGCAGTACATCATTATCTTTTTTTATTTTTTTGAATATATGATGCAGGACTGCAGTTGTTTGTAAAACTGCCAGGTGTTACGATATCCCCCAACCAGAGGACATCACAGATACAAACTTCTACCTCAGTCAATTTGAGAAGGCATAGACCACATAGAGCCAGATAGCCAATCAGCTTACCTGTTCATCACTACACCTCCGCCCTAGCATACTTTATGGCTGCTCTCAGTAACTTCATTGCTCAGTATTGGGTTTTACCAGTTGAGCTAAACTTCCTGCTTTATGGAAAAACTCTTCTTGTATGTTTAATTCCTGGTTTCTGGACAAGACTTCCCCTTAACTATGGCTTTTGGATTTTGTCTCCAGCACCTCTGTTAGAACCTTCATTTGGATAAGTACTCACAACTTTGCTGAACAACATAACAACTCTTTTAAAGACGTATACTTCCTCATCAAAACTTCGCATGGGGTCCACCTCTCACTTCAATCATAGCTAACCCTCCGTATCACAGGTAGTGCAGCCTCAGTTGTAAGACAAATCAGTACAGTATTAAAAGTTTATTAACCCATTAGTGCTATCCTGTGATAATCATACTGTATGCATACTAGTGACAATTCCATTGATTAATCATTCACAAATGATTATATTGTTGATACAGGATGTTGTTACCACATGGCTACCACAACTCCAAATGAGATATGCCACAATACTGTATAACACTAATAGAATTAGATTTTTTTAATAACACACATTACATAGAATTATTAATAATTGTGTAATTAGAAAACAGCAAAGGTTTAGATTTTAATTATAAAACATTATATTATACATACTGGCTTGAAAAATATAATATTTAAAAGCAAATAATCACATAAAAACAGCAAAAAAAGAGGCTAGATTAAAATAAAAATACGAATACGGATTTCAATTACTTTGTCTCATACTCTAAGCTGCATTATAGCAGATTTAAGTGCTCAGCTTAGTAAGGTCTGCATTGTATCTAGATGAATACATTTATATTGTTAATATTGCAATTTGCCATTACTGTACAGTATATTGTTGAGGTATGCACTGGACAAAACATAATTTTTATGAATTTGTTTGATATCACTAGGTCATTTTGTTAAAACGCAATCTAAGTTCCAAAAAATGAAAATTGAACAAATATCAACATCATAATTCCCATAAAACCACTGGACCACTTCCCAATCACATCTACATCACAAGTCCCTGTGCTGCCTGGCCATGGTCATGTTCACAGGTCCTTGCAGTTGTAGCAGCAATGCTTGTTAATAAGACAGAATTGAGCATTGGTATGCTCCTAAAGGAGGCCCCATCTCACCCTCCATCTCTGTGGTGCAGCCACAGAGAAAGAATTCATGCAGGCTGATTTAAGATGTTTTCTTTTAATAAGAAACAAGCTCCCAGACAGGGATGCAATTAGCTAAGCCTGGCTATCATGATCAATGGTCATCCATTGCACTGATGGCGCCTATCAGTCTAGGGAGTGCCGAATGGACATCTGGACTGCATTCCTAAGTGTCAAGAGTAAGTGACTTATATCTCACCTTGACCAACCAATCAGGGACTGGCAGGGCGTGGTAATACCACATGAGTCTCCAATGCCCGCCAAACTCTCAACCAATCAGCACACATCTGGGTCTTGATCAAAAAGGGAGCGCAAGCTCAGATCGGAGCTCTCCTTGGCCATTTTCGCGCATCCTCAGAGACAATCACGTGACAACTGCTGTTGTCTGCAAAAGGACTTGGACTTTGTTCTAAGCGCGAGGCCGAGGATCCCGTACGTACTCAGAATTCTACCAACGTGAATGCTCCGCTTGATCAACGGCAGCCTACAGTTGGACCCTCGTCGACAACCTGAATAGCTTATTCAGAAGCAGCGCTGGACCGGGAACGAACCAGCTTCTTCCCAGGCAAAAGAGTGACTTGTGAGGACTCGCAGTCACACTCAGTGCATAGAGACTTTCTACTAGCCAGCCGGACTGCTGGTAGATCCCCTCGGAGCAACGACTGCGCTGCGCGTCGCAGTCAGATTCCTCCAAAAAATAAAACAAACAAAAAAAAACTTTGGAAGGGCTATTTACAGACTTCAGTAATATTAAAAAAATATTTTTATTTGTCACTTTTCACACAAACATTCTAATCAATCATTCTGTCCTGCAGGTCCCACACAAGCCTTTTCATATATTTTGATTAGTAGCTCTGACATGAGGGGACAAAAAAACAAATATTTACAATACTTCTGTATTTTGCCAGTGTCATTTTTTTATTTTACATTTCTAAAATAATTTTAAATGTTTTTTTAAGAGTCTTTTTTAAAATACCAAGCACAGCATGTACTTTAGCTCTTAATTCGGCCTGAGAGCCAAATACATGGACAAAAAAAAACTACATTTCCCAATATTCCACACACATTAAAAAATGTAATGATGGTGTAAAATCAATCAACGTGTAAAACCCAGTGATCTGTTTTGAGCTTTGAAGGGCTGAAAGTGGTATGGTGAACAGGACTGCAATATACAGCTTGAGCTTTCTACTGTCATGAGTTGTGATGTGAATTCTTGATGGCTGCATCTATATTTTTAACAGTAATATAACAAAACAATGTGGTTGGGGGTTTAGCTATTTTTCTTAAATCAGTAAACATGACCAAAGACACAGATAAGCAAAGCATCTGTATTAATTGTTCCTCAAGTTAAGATAATTGTTAATTCATTGTCAGCCATAAATCACAAATACAGCAAGAGAGTAAGCACAAATAAAGAGGAATCATCATCATCAGAAGTAGACAAAAAGACTGCAACATAAGAGATCTAAACTCCATTAAGCAGACTGGAAACCATATTTTGTTCAATCTGAACCCTTGGGGCTGTTAAGGACTGCAAGGAGACAAAATACATTAAACCAAGCCCTTACTCTAAAGAAAGCACAAATGTAATGAAAACTGAATGAAAGATTAACTAGCAAGTAAATTTGTAGCAAAAACTATACGGCATGCCACACCACTGAGTTTCTCTATGGAATAGTTAGAACTAAATATTATTCCTTATGGTTATACTTTTCTTCCACCTTTAATGCAATACCAAGTCTTTATATCCAAATTAATGGAATTTTTAATATGCATTTACAGCACTTGAAAAGTGAGACACTTAACTCCTTAAATAACATGTCCTTGACAAAACAAAAGTATGTCAGAGCATCTTTTGTAAACTAATAACAAAAACACTAACAAATAATAGCAAAATATGCTTATTCAGATGCCTCAAGAAATTAAAAGAAAGGTTGTGCAATTCATTTGTTTCATGTTTGATAAAAATAATTCAGTCAAAAGTTTTCCATACTATTATCTGAAGAAAGCCTCCAAATGAACAATCGAGCACACATAAAGTTTGTCAACCCATTGCAATTTTTTTAAATTTAAAAACAGCATTAAAGATTGGGCTATTTGAATGCAGTACACTGCACAAATACAATTTTTATTTCAATAAAAAAGATTGCAGAATATACTTTAACAGCTGTACTGTAAATCAGAGGTCCATTAAAATTGATTTTGATATTCAGTAATTTCCCTTAAAAAAGATTAAATGTGGTCCTGGAATTCATTTGTAGCATATTCCCAAATGTATAGATAATATTGATGTTTGCTTAAATTTATTACTCCTTTTTTATAAACCAATAAGTTTTTATTTGAATGTGGAATGTACCTTATATAAAAGAAAAGTTAAAACAGCACAGGTTCAGTTTTACTAAATTAAAGCATTAAAGTGACACACTGAATAATTTAAGGAAAAATTAAGTCTTAAGTTTACTTATAGCTGTTATTTCAACATTTAGTTCTTCTGTATCTGCATGTATTATCAACATAAAGAATGTACTTCTTGTTCAATTAAGATAAAAAGATTAATCATACACTTTACAGTATGAAGCTTTTCCATCTTAACTGCCAATTGGACTGTCAGTATATTTTGGTAATTAGAACAATATAATGAAGAGGAGAAAAATAATTATTAATCCAGTGTCAGAAGTTTCCCTTTTGTCATAAACTTGCCATGAAAACATACAGTACAGGGAAACACAAACAAATGTAATGTTTTTGTTCGGTCCAAACTGTGCCACACATAAATTTAAGTTAACCTGATCTGGGTTTGTAACTCAGGCACACTTTAATATGTCATTCTGAAGTGAAATACACAGCTTTAAACATATTACAACAAAATACAAAATAAGTACTTGTTGGGGGTTTCTCTAAGTCACGCAAATGTTTAAATATTATACTTATACTTCAATGACTGGACATCAAAAATAAAATTGAAAGCAGACATATTTACTTATATTTTTGGTATGGTCTGCAGTGATTTAGAGCCTATCCCAGAAGGACAAGTTGCAAGGGAAGACTACACCCTTAGCGATACACCAGTATTTTCAAAGACATACACAAGCATAAATATATTTGTATTGGAAAGAAACAAAAAGTTTTGACAATTTATATGTTACACTACAAAAAAAATATAGGAAAACTTTAATGTCTCTTTTGATAAGCAAGAAAAAACATTAATATAAGATACAGTATCTTGAGTATTCCAAATTTGTACAATCACCTAAAAATCAAACAGAGCATAGATGTAATGGATGCAATGTCATGAAAAAACATACCTTTCTTAAGAAGCTAAAGGTTTTTGAAGAGGGACGTCTATTTGTGTTGCATATTGGCACTGAGCAAAGTTGACAACAAATGATCATTTGATTGATCTGAAAAAGAAGAAAAAGAAGCCAGTAAACAAAAATGGAAATTTCATTCAGAAACGTAAGAGAAACGGACCTGTCAGTTCATTCACAACTGTTGCCTTGTCAAGGACACAAAGCAAGTCAAGTATATTCAAGGCTGAACCATGCAAAGTATTCAGTGCATCTTCCAAAGGGGAAAGGTACAGCACAAAGCAGCCTTACCAGCTACAGAGAAAATGATCCTCACAGGAAGATGGAGCAGTGCTTTCTACACACACTAACAGCAAGAGGGATATTTCAGCCACACACAAAGGCAGCATAATTGGCTCTCAATGAAGAGCTGTAAACATTCATCATCAAGGCACTTGAACACTACAAGATAACTACCTCAGCTGTGCCGTTTTCCCTTTGCAAGTGAGCCCTGGCTAAGACTGTCTGAAATCCTCAAATGCATGTAGACAGTATACTCTAGCTACTTAAGAAAGGAACATTACAAGGGATGCACATACAGTATAATACTACTTTAGAATAGGGGTTGGAAATTGCATTATTAAGTACAGTATTAATACATTTGACAGAAATTATGCAGTTGGTAATAAAATTGCAATTCTCATCATATCCCTTAGACCTAACTGGCTAGTGGTATAAAACAGTAACAATTATTTCACCAGTTTATGTTAATAGATTGTTGATATAATGTTATAGAACACTTAGGCCATGGAAAGAAACATATCATTATGCACATACACGCTGAAGATAATCTGAAAATATGATTGTTTTTAAAACAGAAGTAAATATTTGTTTGTTTGAAAATCGTTCTCTTGTATTCAAAAATCACAGGTCCACCTAAAACACACATGGAAAGATGCTTATATGCTGTAACCTCTATATTCACTCCTTTGCATCTCTGAAAAGATAGCATGGCAAAGATGAGTCTTCTCTTAAACAACAATCTGCAAACAATGTGTAATTGTACTGACAGTCTACTGTGTCCTTTATGAACTTGGAAAGCTGTACATCTGGGGAGGGAAGTAGTGGGAGTCATACATCAAATGTAATATCCTCAGGTGTGCAAAATCCATAATAGGAGGAGGACAGATTTAGGCTGCCATCATTCTTATGAAATAGCTGCCTCTTCAATGACTGTATTACATTTGTGAGGACGGGTCAGCTATTCAGCAAGCTAAAGATACAGTTTCTCTCTATATATTATATATTATTTCCAAATATTTAAAATAAGTAGAGGATGAGAGTATATTTTAAAAAACTACACTAACAACATGAATGCCGATTTATAAGGCAACACACTCACATCTGAAAATCTTTCCTTTTTTAAAAAGATCATGCACATCTCCAGTCACAGACCAGTCATTTACATCGGCTGTTCATTTACATCTCTGTCAGTGTATCTAATCTGAAGATACGTCATTTGTAATAGAGAATGTTGCAATGTTTCAGATTGTTATCAAGTCATGTATAAATACAATCTAATGTTTTCATGTTTCAAGCACCTATATACAGAACATACTGTACACATTTTGAAACCTCCTCTTGCAGGGTTTTTTTTTAACTTTTGTTTCATAAATATGAAATACTCTGTGATACATAAAGGGTGAAAACCAGGTCATTTTCATTTTTTGAAACAACGTCAAAATATTTTTTCACTCAAAGTGAGTAGTGGAACAAACAAACCTACTCAAACATTTTAATCCAAGGCTTATGTTTCATATAGAAATGTGTGCAAAAGTGTCAAGATCAACATTAAGGATAAGGATAAAAGGAAAAAATAACTGTCGAAATTTAACAATATACTGTAGTTGTATTTTTTAAATTGTGGTTCTCTGGTGTCAGCACATACTGACATACACTTTATTCTTCTGTGATAGTCATACAATTACAAAGGTCAACTACTGTCTGTATATCTTAGTATGCATTTATTGCATAAAGCCATTCAGCAATGTGCAGGCAGTCTATACATAAATTAAACTGATTCATGACTTGTAGTAATGTAACAATGTGAACAATGTGTGCAAAAAAGAAAATAAACAGCCAGTTCAGCATTGTTTGCCTTGTAACATTCTGCATGTACTGTATCTACTACAGTTATTTAAGAGATAAAGCAGTCCAATTTTTAATATCCATAGGCAACATACTGTAGGTAAAGTACTCCCAAAACTTTTTGCTATTGGTAACAATAAGAATAAGAAAACCTGAAATTGAAAACATTAACAGCACAAACTTGGATAACTGGAAAGCAGTTAAGTTCCAATAAAACATTGCTGTTGAATTATTTTGATTTCTAAAGTGACATTTCAAACTTTTATTAAAAAATAAAAAGTTTACAATACCTTATAACAACTGAGATGTTCAAAAGATACCACACAAGACTAATAAGGAATGTGATAGGATAAAAAGTTTAGAAATGTCAAATGTATATATACAATGAATGAGGCTTTTCAGTTTTTAACAAAAACATCTATATTACAGGTAGAAATGTGTACAATTACTTATTCCAGCCATAGTTCATCAATACGTAAACTATTCTACTGAAAGACAAAAGGTAGTCCAGGTAGGGAAAGCTTTGAAATAATATTGCAGATAGTTTAAACCCAGAAAACCAACTGAGCTTCCTTCTAATCATAGCTTCTTCCTTCTTCCTGGAGTGTACGTATCTCTCTCTCGCAGTAAGTAAAAGTCTTCTTAAAATAATCCAATTAGTAACACCATAGGTTCGAATAATTTCTAAAAACATCTTGACTGATTTAATTTAGAACATATTTCTTAGTCGGTTCTGCTGAATCCTCTGTAGTTGTTTGTTTACTTTTCTGATGATTCCCTACTCATTTCCTTCAGTGATCTCTCGTTTAAGGCTTTGTCCCAATATGCACACTCGCGGCTTGTACCCTTCATATGCACGTTCCTGCTCAAGTCTGTCCCATTTCTAATTTGTGTTACACAGCAGTGCTCAAGAGTGCCCCCAATGCCCCCTTTATGCAACCTTCTCTCAAGTCCACATAGGAGCAGACTTTGCTGAAAGGAATTATCCCCAATTCTTTGAAGAATGGTGATGTTTAATTTTCTAACCTATCCAAGCAGAAAGAAGTTGCCATGGAGAAATATTTATGTATTAGTAAAATTTAATTTAAAATTTTAAAATTCACAATAATTTATGTAAAATCAAAATTTCATTAGGCTACTTTAGATTCATATGTATTCGATGTGACAAAGTTTTTATTTAATCACCACTTTTCGACTGATGAATGATAATTACCTACAGTATATTTTGTACACAAAAATAACACAATACAGGTATGTCACTATTGGACAAACAAGATTAAATTAAATTCAATCTAACTGCAAGCGGAAAATAAAGAAATCTTTAAAAAAGTATTTGCAGATGTGCACTTGGTCAGTGGAAAATAAGAATCAACAACAGAAAGCATTTAGACCGTGAGCTCTATAACCAACAAGTGATGTCGTGCGAGGGTGTTCCATTACCTTCTTTTTAATCGTGCACCCTTGAAGGTTTGCACACTTTAAGTACACACTTGCAGTATGACTGTCACGCCCCACACTCTCCCTTGCAAACGACGTTACATTCCCGGAACCTCTGCTTCCCAATCTCATCCCTGATTGAACCCAGCACATTCTCACATGCATCAGATTCCTCAAATTCTCACTCCCTAACCAATCATCCAATCACACCCCTTTCCTTTCAGTATTTAAACCCCCTTCGCACACCTTCCTATGCTCACTATTGAGAAGCCTTTCTTATTATTCTCCAGTGTGTGTTTCCCAAACCTTTTGACTGATCTCTCGTTACGAATCTTCTGTTTCCACCTCTTGACCTCGCCTTCTGGATTTTGTCTTTTGAATTGTTTTTGAATATCTCTCGTTACCGGACCCTCTGCCTCCCTTATCACCCAGCCTTTGGATTTTGTCTTTTGGATTGTCCCTTTGCTACTCTGCGTCCTGTGGGATTCCGGTCACGCATAAGGATCCTCCTATTCCACGTATAGGTTCCCTGACAATGACACAGAAATGCAGACCTGAAGGAAGTGCAGAGGGTTTAGTGTGGGATTTGGGACATGGTCTGAGACTAGACCCGACCCTTATCAAGTACAGTAGTTGATCGATTACTCTTACAACAAGCAGGCTATGCCAGATTATGACAAAGCCAATGATTGGAAAAAAAAACACTTAGCCTGTTTCAGTAAGGAATCATCATTCAATAGGAGTAGCTATGGAAAACAGGGGAATGTTCTGTTACTATTCTATATTCTCCCAGAAAAGTGGACCTCTGAATATTCTCACAAATAATTAAACATTTTCCACCACACTCTGAGGGTACATTCTGGAGAGCTAGTTTATTGCTGTGTTAACATGACCTATTTAATAAAATTTGTAATAGACCATTTAATCTTTGTTTTTAAAGGCATATATGGGTGGTGTGGTGGCTTTGTAGCTAAGCATCTGCGTCTGTGGCTGCAAAGTTGCCAGTTCATATCCCGCAGCCATATCCAGGGGCGCTGTATAAATGGCTGACCCAGTGCTGGACCCCAAGCTTCTCTCCCTGTCTGTGTCTTTCATGGAGAGCAAGGTGGGGTGTGTGAAAAGACAAATTCCTAATACAAGAAATTGTATATGGCCAATAAAGTGATCTTATCTTTGGGGATTTTTGGGTTAGTCCAAATGTTCCCATGAAGGGCTCTTTTGTTGACCAAATGACTGGGGAAGAAATTTAATCTGATGATAAGAGAATAGCAGCCCATAGGTTACCATTACATAGGTAACCTGGAATGTCATGTGAGCTCTGAATACACTAACACCTGCAACAGGATGTCACCGATGATGATCATTAAAGAAAAATGAACAAAATAAAGAGATGACATAAATACATAAACAGACATGGCAATTATTTGTCAGTAGAACCATTATGAAAGAGAGGACTTTAAAAACCTTTTTTGTTTCAGTATGATATGATTCACTGCCAAACACAAAATCATAACTAGATATGGAATAAA